GTGTGTGTGTGTGTGTGTGTGTGTGTGTGTGTATGTTTATAGATATGGATAAAATATCCTATATATTATATCTATAGGGTCTCATGTCACTATTGTGTTCTACTACAGAACAGATGCTAGGTGAGGAGCTCAGTGGTGTGTTGGCTTTCTATACAGAGTTGAATTTCACGTGGATGGTTATGGGCTCAGGAGTTAGAGACTGTAAATGCCAAGGTGATGGACACAACATAAAAAACGACGGAGAGAGAAAAAGGGCCTAGTAGACAATCCAATCCATTTGCTACCGGCATCCTACAATAAACACAAATGTGGAAGGGATTTCAGCACAGGGGGACTTAGACTTTCTCTAGAACTATTTGGAGGAGTTTCTCGAAGTGCTTTGGAAGTGTTGTTTAAAGTTTTCAAGTTTTCTGAGTAAACAAGCAAAGCGAGCTGCCTTTTATCTATGGGGAATCCTGGGCACTTACAGAGCATTACGCAGCAAGTCAAGAGCAGACGGAGGAGCAGATCCCAGAGGCGCCTGCTCATAGAGATCAGTCTCAAGTGCAGAGCAAGAAAGTCCTTAAATAGACCAAATTAACTCTCTTAACTAAGAATCAGGTGAAGAACCGAAGAACTCTGAGATCAAGGGTCAGGGATTAGGTGTCTGGGCAGGACAGACCTGATTATGTCTTGTTACAACAAAAATACAGGCAGCAGTTCAAATGAATGTATTCCTAATATGTGAAAAATAGCATGTATCATCCTTCGAGCCTCTTCATTTGCTGCTAACCCACTGACCTGTGATGCTGACATGGAAATGATGCTCTGTAGCTCTTTTCTCAGCCTAAATGAATGATCTGAACCAGCTAGTGACCTCTTTTTATTCCTCTTCATTTGTTTAAAACTGTCATCGTGTCTGTTTTGAGATTTCCCTGCAATACTTCCTTTTCAACAATAACAAAAAAAGAATAGGAAAAGTGCCCTGTGTTCACTGCTGCTTCCTCTTTCTGATTCACTTAGCCACTTATCATTCTTTCCTTTATGGAAATATTTCTCTTGCTTAAAGGCGATGTACTATAATTGTGGGGCAGGGAGAAAGCTCTCATGGATTCAGAGAAGTCTAGTGGAAATCCACTCTGGTGAAATGCCCAGCGTGACTTCCAGCACAAAGATGCTGTGATAACATCAGCGGAGAGTCAATCTTCCCTCTTAGGCGTGTGACATATCAGAGTTTGTGTGTTTGTAGTGCAGGTGGGGTCCATAGTTACGTTGCAAAAATGGCCTTGAGAGGGCAATGAACGGGTTCTGAAAATGAGACTGGGACTCAGTAGTCCCCCGAGACTACGATGAACTCTGCAGTGGGCAGAATAGTCACACAGCTGACTTCAGTAGTGTTCAGTGGGTGTGTCTACACAAGATGTTTTACTGCACAGTAGACTAATCTACTGCGCAGTAAAGCATCGCTATGTAGCCATGCTGTAACAGGAGGCCGTCTCAGGGCCGATTTGCCTTTGGCCTGCCCACCTGTTCTGGGCCAACCACCCATCTTCTCTCCTGCCATGCCTTGTTGTTAATTAATTATCTTAATTAGGCGGAAAGCTGCCCATTTCTTGCCCCAATGCCAGGGGGTGTTATCGGTGGCTCCATACCTCCCCTACACCGCAGTCCATGCCTTGCAGATGGCATCCACAGTTCTTACAATCACCGGCCCCATGCTGGGCCCCAGACTTCTCCAATCAGGACCCCTCTAAGATCCCTTCATTCCAGTGGCCTACCCCGCCTTCATTCAGGCTATCTAGCTCCCTGAAACTATTTTCCCCTCTCGGGTGTGGTCCTCCTGGGACCTTTGGCCATACAGGCCCTGGCATCACCTCCAAGGCCAGTCGGAAACCCCAGGCCCTCTTAGCTCTGGGTGTCCCTCGTGGTGGACCCCCGGCCCTTTTGAGTGGTCTGGTCCTGGCCCCAGCATCGAACAGTTGAGGGTGCTCTCTCTGTCAGGTCTCTGAGTCTCTAGCTCCACTCTGTCTCCTGGGGTCTGCCCTCTGGGCCCTACTAGCGGGTAACCCACCCAGTTGTGGAAGCTGGGGTTAAGGCGCCTCGACACGCCTTTCACCAGGGTGGTAACTGGCCTGGCATTTCCTGGGGGCTCCCGCACCACTGAGAACCCCACCAGGCCACCCACTCCCAGTAGGGTGCAGTTTTAGGTAGCTGCCTCAATCAAGGACCTGCTGGCTGTTTGGTTCTGATCTTCAAGTGGCAGGCACAAACAGTGCCCTGTCACACATACCGTGGGCTACTGTGCAGTAAAATAAGCTAATGCACGGTTATCTTCTATCTGAAAATATAGGTAGATTAACTGCGCATTAGCTACTACGTAGATGCTGGCTGGGAGCAATTTGCTCCTGGTCAGCCCAGGCAGCAGGGGGCCCACTGCTGCCTGGTTAATCCCCATGTGGTTGGAACTGTGCTGCCTGCAGGGGCACCTGTCTCCCCACCACATGGGGATCAAGACATCCCGATCCCCACATGGCTGGGAGGCTGCAGCTGGAACTGCTGCATCCCAGCCAGATGGGGATCAGGTCTGGTGATGGGGAGAGACATCCCCACCTGGTGGGGGCAGCCACATGGGGATTGAGAGGCTCCTGATCACCACGTGGCTGCCAGGCAGCATTCTCATGGGGACACCTCTCCCAGCCACTTGGGGAGTAGGTTTGATCCTCAGGTGGCTGGATGCAGCAGTCCACCAGCCCCCTGCCCCCTGCCAGCCCCAGGCTGGCACCTGGGGCAGCGTGGAGCTCCCCCTGGCTACTGCAACAGGGCAGATCATAGGAACCTCCTGGGGCTCACCTGCTCCAGTTGGGAGCAAATTTGCTCCCAGACTGGGGCACGTGTATACCCTTTCCTTTTTTAATGCACAATAACATTACTGTGCATTAATGGCATGTGTAGATACACCCAGTGACAAGGATGAGTGTTCAGATGCACTTGATAATCTCCCAGGATAAATTGCTAGTGCCTCTTATCCCCTGAACCTTGCTAGGGTTTGTCCTGAGATGACCATCTGAGCCACTGTGCTTTCTCCCAGGACAAACGCAATGTCTGTTTGTTGCCTTAAGGTATCAAGTCACGTTACAACTTGCTTCTCTCACAGCCTTGGACCATCACAGCTACAACAGGAATACTCCAATGAAGAGAACAGGATTCCTGCTCTCTGAAAAGAGCTTCCAGGCCTTTGTATGAAATAGCTATGGAGGGAATTGCCTAGTATTAATTAATTGGTGACTGTTTAATATTAACCTGGCATAAAGCATACTCTTGAAGAGTTCCCCTTTACATCTGGATTCAAAATAAAACCCAGAGGAAGTGATTTTAGATCAAAAGAGCAGAGTGGAAGATGTCAGCAAATGGGAACAGGCCAGGTGCTTGCTCCCGGGAAGAGCGAGAAGGCTTCCAGAGAGAAGGGAACTGGATAAGAAGGATTGTGAGCATATTTACAGCCATCTGGCACCTTCTAATTATTCAAGTGATGAGGCTGCCTGAGTGCTCTCCAAAATGGGGGGAGGGAGAGAGGGAAAGAGTCTGTTTGGGCAGCGGCTCGCGAGCGCTTCCTGCTTGCGACGTATGTTTTTTTGGAAATGTTTTATATCACTTACAAAATTATTTATATTGCTGGGGAAGTAGGGAAGAGATACCAGAAGGAGATTTTTAGAGGCTGTTCCTTCTGAGTTTGCCATCCAGGCTTGTACAACATGGGCACCAGGGAAGGATCGGGAGGGAGGTCTGAAGGAGTCCAGTAGACTTCAGGTCCCTTGACGTATCAGCGGAACTGGGTTATCTTCTTTCTGCCGCTGCAGCATTGCTAATTCTTGCCAAGTTTTGTCTCGAGTCTTGCAGTGTTGCAATATCTGATTTCTAAAAACCAAAAAAAATAAAAATAAAAAAGGCCCCTCTGCCTGGAGTCATGTTAGCTAGAGAACATCTCGCTTTCCATTTATAAAGACAGTGAATCTCCTTGCCTTCATGTTGGTGGCAAAAAGCTTGGAAATATGATGGGAATGCATCCTATAGCCTCAACACTCCGAAGGGAAATCAAAAGACCCCTAAAATGTATTAAAGCAGCTCAGGACATGGGGTAGAGGTGATATCTTTTATTAGACCAACTCGATTTTTGCACAAAAAAGTCTTTAATTTCTTTAATTTAAAGTCTTTTTTTTTTGCAAAAATTTAGTTGGTCTAACAAAAATATATCACCTCTACCATAAGTTCTGATTCCCTTTGCCTCTCGACCGGCATGGCTACAGTCTGGGTACCTTAAATCAGCTCAAATGCTGGTGATTT